AATGGTGGGCCATCACATTAGGGGTGAGTTAATTAAATGTTTGATCAAATATAGCAGGCTAAGTTTTAAGTTGATCAATTTTCTATGGCCTGTGAATGATGCTATAAATTTTGGCAGAAATAATGTTCCTGAGTCCTGGTGTGGCATCATAAGATAAACACTCAACCTCGAGGTCATTTGAGCTGCAAGGTTGACAGTTCAAACTCACCAGCTGCTTCTTGGAAACCCTGTACAGAGTCACTATGAGTTGTAACTGACTCAATGGCACTTAACAATAACAACCCCTGATATAGGTGAAGAATAGTCAGATGTCCACTAAAAATTGTTTCAATTATTCGTATTTGAAATTCAAACTATGTTTGAAAGCTTTTAAAAATGCAATGATGGGAAGAAAGCTATGAACTTAGACTTGACTTCTAGCTTAAAAAGGAACCCTGGTGGTACAATGTCATCTATTGAAATTGTAAATGAATTGGCCTACATTCTGGTGTGGCACTGTGGGATAAAGCACTAGACCGCAAATTTGGTTTGAACCGCAAGGTCAGAGATTCAAATTCAACAGCCACTCCTTGGAAACCATATACAGGGTCACTATGAGTCAGAGCTGACTTGGGGGCAATTCACAACATCCATATAGACAGCCTATTGAGAACAAATTGAAAAGAACTAGTCAAAAAACATTATTCTTACATTTTTTCTTAAAATACCTTTTTTATATGCTTATAAATAAAGTGTATTATGCACTATGTGTGATCTGAGGGAAATATGTCTAACTCATGCATATTAAGCATAGTGGGGACAGGGACTAAAAGGACTTTCACATGTTGTGTTATATTAATTTAATGCTTGAAAAGGTTTTTACAGTTTTGAATTATTTTTATAATTAAAAATTAAGTTTTATCATGAGAAAACACTCACAGTTTTTTTATTTGGGAAAATTTGTTATTGGTCATCAGAATCTCTGAAAATGATCTCCTATCTGGAATCGGTAAATATGCCTAGCTATCAACACTTAAAAATCAGTAGTACTTAAATGTAACAAATAAAACCATAGACAAATAGGAAAACAACATAAATGGATACATGTCAGGTTGCTCCATGTATTTTCCAGCTTTTCTGCAACAAGCATCAATAACACTGTACTTAAATTTTTTTTCAAACATACCTTGGATTTTAAAAGATTCTACATTGAAAGAATTGATTAATGAGCATCAGAAGGCCTACCACCTGGACTGTACTTTGATAAGTTACTCCCCTTGCTTTAGGTCCCTGGGTGGTACACTTGACTAAGATAAGCACTGGACTGCTAACCACAAGGTTGACAGTTGAAACCCACTAGCTGCTCCTTGGGAAACAGATGAGACTCCTGCTTCTGTAAAGATTTATAGTACTGGAGTTGACTGTCCAAGACTAGAAACTAGACTATGGCCTGTTCAGGAGAGCACCAACCCACTTAGAGCCACTGACAGAAAGTTTCCATTGACTTACCCCAGCCATCTCAGAGCAAATCTTATTTGTCTGGTGCTCTGCTATTGCTCTGGATCAACTTTTATTTCAATGTTGAAGTTTCACTTTCAGTTACTTTTTAAAAAATTTTATGGCATCAAGTTACAAATCAGCTTTATTTAAAACCATTTTTTGTTAAACGTTGAACTCTGGAACAAAAGTCAAATGTACAAACTATGGCATGAAGCTAGTGTTGCTAAAAATACAAATTTTGTCCAATAGGCTATATTTTCAAATTTTTCTTTGTATGAAAACTTAGGTATGCGATAGCTACTATATTAAGTTGTATAATTACCATTGTATAAACAAATGTTTTGGTAATTAAGTAGCATATTAATATTAAGACCATAAATCAAGCCATGAACTCTGTGTCAAAGACTCAGTATTCTCCAGTGACTGGGAAAGTTCATTTTTATGTGTGTGCTTTGGGATTGAGGAGTCTACAGAAACAGAATAGATTAATAAAAAAATTTTTTTTTCTCTTGTCAGGTTTTCTATTATATTGGAGGATTGGAAAATGGAAGTTCAATGAGGCAAGGGTTCAATAATTTTACATGTCATCAAATGAAAAAAATTCTTAAGAATACAATGGTGGCATATAATTTTGCTGTTATAGCACAGTCATTAAATGAATTAAAGGACTTTGTTTCACAGAAAAATACTATAAAAAGGACTTTACAAACATATTTAGTCTTTGCTGCCTGAGCAAATCAGTTCCAGTTTCTTCATAGTCCTCCATCTGTCCTTTAGCATGACACCAGTTCAGTTGCTGAATTTATAACGTAATTGTATTTTAGCCCAGTTTCCCTCTCCGTATTTCCTCACACTACTTCTTAGGTTCGTGTCTTCCTCCCACAGTCAGGCCTGTTTTTTCCCTAACTCAATATTTTTCAGAAGTTACCAGATGATTTTTATAATTTTCTTTCTTGAGTTGACTTGATCTTCTGCTTGATTTCACTTTCTTTCTTGGATTTTGAACAGTTTCCATTTTTTTCTCTTTCTCATTAGGATCCTGTAGTTGGCTTCCATGGTCAAATTTAAATTAAAAAGAGATTCTTATGAGACCTCAATAAGGATACTGTACCCTCTGAGGATTTCAGCTACTGCAGACTGTCAGTCACTAACACTTTCTCATATATCCAAATTAGCTTGACTTTCCATTTCAATATCATTACTATTAAGTTTATCTTGAGAAGTTCAAATTCTTGTTCTTTTACTTTCTACAACTTTTGCTGCAGCCTTCATTTAAAAGTTGATGATTTTTCATTTAGCACATAATTCACATAACTCTTTATTTTTTCCATTATGTGGTTGTAGCTGAAGTTTTGAAAACTAGAATGGAAGACATCTTTCTGAGAGACTCTCGCCAGCAATTATCTTTTTAAAGGCGTATAAGAATTTGGATCATCAAATATTCTTTCAAAGACTTCTTCTGCTTCCTTAAAATTGCCATTTTCCATACAAACAGCTATAGCCTGAATTTTAATTAGATTCTTTAGTTCTTCATGAAGTTTGTCATGTTCCTTTTCAACTGACTTCCAAATAGTGAGGGCTGATTCCAAGGGTGTTATTTGCTCATCACTTTCAAACTGTGCATCAAAGGCTTTTCCTGCTGCAATTCTTCTCAAAAACTAACATAAGTATATAGTTCTCAACTGGTAAGCTCTTAGACTGGACAATCCATGAATAATAGCCTTGACGCTGTCACATATCTGGTGGAGGTCTTCGGAGCGGCCGTCGCGAAAAGCATGGCAAAGAGAGAGGCAGAGGAAATCTAGCATCCAGCCGACAGCCACGGTCTTAGCCTTGGCCACCAAGGCCGCGTCCTCCTCCTTGTCCGGGTTACTCATCTGCATCTGACACTCAAGTTGCTGCTCCCCAACATCTCCTGCGGTTTCTGCCATCTGCTCCTCTGCAGCATCCACATCCTTTCCCTCAGTTACTTTTTGACACCATGTCAGAAATCAGCTACCTTTTAGGGAGATAACTAATTATTAACTAAATATTTACTGTAAATGGAATGGCTCAAGATTGCCTACATCAAAATGTAGAAACCTTTGGTGCCATCAAAGGCCTATGCACCTGTTTCTATTCCAGGAAAGGGAAGAATTTAGAAGAGATGAGACGTCAATCACCAACTGCACACATAAGACATTGTCTTGTAACAACCCCCAGAAAATACTGGCCAGAGGGAATTCTGGGCATTATGAGAAAATTGCTGCTGGTCATGGGAGACTTATACTTTGTGCATCCCAGCCCTCACTGCATCACTAGGATGCATTTGGCCACAAGAAGCAAAGCTAGGCTAAAAGGGTTGCTGTGCATCAGAGTCAATTGGACAGCACTTAACAACAACAACAATGCAGTAGTTGGGGAACAGATTTGTGTGATGCTGACTCTAGCTAAGCTCTTGCTTGCTGCTAGCTCACTTTCAGTTGCTAAGCCATTTTTCTGTAACACTTGCTAGGGTGGCCTTGGAGATTTGGGGCCGTGGCACCATGCACCTTTGTTCATTAGAGCTATAAATATTTCTGTTTCCTTCTGGAGTCATGAAGACTAGAGCCTGCCCTGTCATCACCCGGGACTTTGCCTCAGTAATTAACTCCTTAATAAAACTTTTGCTCTTTCCCCCTAGTATGCCATAAAGATTCTGGTGTTGCCACGGGCCATCACCCCACCAGGCATTACTGATATTGTAAGAACAAGCCCTATCTAAAGTTCTGCTTCTGCTGAGGTGTCCTTGATGCCAAGATTCGTATCTTTGACCTGGGTTGGAAGAAGGCAAAAGTGGACGAGTTCCCACTCTGTGGCTACATGATGTCAGATGAATATGAGCAATTCTCCTCAGAAGCTCTGGAGGCATTTGTGCCAACAAGTACATGGTGAAAAGTTGTGGCAAAGATGACTTTCATATCCGAGTATGGCTGCATCCATTCCATGCCATCTGCATCAGTAAGATGTTCTCCTGTGCTGGGCTGACATGCTCCAGGTAGGGATGCGAGGGGCCTTTGGAAAGCCCCAGGGCACTGTGGGTAGGGTCCACATGGGCCAAGTTATCATGTCCATCTGCACCAAGCTTCAAAACCAGGAAATGTAGGGCCAAGTTCAAGTTCCCTGGGCACCAGGAGATCCACATCGCCAAGAAGCACAGCTTCACCAAGTTAAAAGCTGATGAGTTTGAAGACATGGTGGTGGAGAAGCGCCTCATTCCAGATGGCTGTGGGGCCAAATCCATCCCCAACTGTGACCCCTTGGACAAATGGAGGGCCCTGCATTAGTGAAGGCCTTGGTAGCACTGACCTATGCCCTCCAATAAATCGAATGTCTCCATGTCAAAAACCCAAAACCAAAAATCTCCTATATTGCCATTGTGGAGTTACCAGCTTCTTTCTGTGGGCTCTAGACACTTCAGGGAAAATTTCAAGTTACTGGTCCATGCCCAAAATATGGCTGATAAGGGACAGGCATCCATGAAGACGAACTTGGGGCCAAGCTTAGCACATGCAGTAAGGGTAATCCCAGGGGCCGGTGATCTCCATGCGGGAAAGTCTGATCCCTATGCATCTACTGGGAAATTCCGGGTTCTCATGCACCCCTGCAAGGATATGCCAAATTGGGACAGTGTTCCTCTGACACTCAGCATCTTGGCTCAGGACCTGGTTAAAAACTGGCTTCCGTTTCTGGCAATAATATCTTCTTGGCTTCTCTGCTTGTTAATAGGAGACCGCTACTCTACAATGATTCTAGTCTGTGTGTGGTCTCTCTTCTCATAAACTAAGCAGGTTTGGGCGAGGTAAGTGCTTGGATGAAAGAAGAGGCTGCAAGTGGATACCCGAGAAACCAAATATGTGAGTGTGGCAGGGTGTCTGGGGGGAGTGTACATGTGAGCATGTGTGACATGGAACAACAGGTGTGTAAGTGCATGTGTGTGAGAATACTGTCATGAAGTCTTGTGAGTGTCAGAGAGAGAGCATGTGTGCAGAGTATGTGAGTGTGTATGTAAGATAGTGGTGAGCATGTGCCTGTGAGAACCTGTGTATGGGAGACTCTGTGTGTGTGTGTGGCATGAGAATGCTCCTGTGGGTGAGTGAGTGTGAGCACGTGGTGCCCACATGAAGGTGAAGTGAGGGAGAGTGGGTCACAAAGGAAGAAAACAAATTTGAAGTTCTCCTCAGAGTCAAGTCCTGTTAGAGGATCATGGGTTAGAGTTAGAGAAAACTCCGAGGTTCCAGGTCATTTTGGTTCAACATCAGTCACCGTGCTGAATGCTGGGGGTGTGAAATGGGACAGGGATTTCACACTCTGACCAGAATCGGGAGGAAGGGCTTCTTTGAGCCAAGTCACCTGACATCTTGTTGTGTTTTTTTTTTTTTTAAAGTTTTTATTGTGAACTGAGTGATAGTTTACATGGAAGAACATAGGTTTTACACCACTGTTTAATTGCAATGATTCAATCTTTTCCGTGCATCATCATTCAACAGCATTTGCTTCTATTTCCACAGTGTCTTTTTTGGGGGATGGGGAGACATGAGGGAGTGTACACAGAAACACTCAGGAATATATAATAATTTAAACAACCAAAGGCCACATTCTCCAGGCCTGTCTCCTGGCTGCCAACACACAGTCTTTCTCTTTCCATGAGTCTAGAGTCCTCAGCTGCTCTATCTCTCCATGTCATCATCTCTGCCTCCATCTCTGGTGATTCTGCTTCCCTGCATAGGGTCCCAAATTCTGCTTGTGCTCTTCTCCCTTGATGGTCCTAGGGGCTTCTTTCTATTCCTGGCCTATAAGATTAATTATTCCCCCCTTTTTGTTACAAAACTTCTAACTTTACAGTTGTGACGGTTGCAATTAGTCCTGATAACAATAATTCACTATTGAATCATAAGAATCTTATCGTCATCTCCTTTCAACCCTGACATCTTATTAATGTTCAAGGAAAACAACCCTGCAGGAAAACACTCAGTGGTTTCTGGTCTTGGGTCCTCTGTCTGCTGTCTGAATCTTGCATGCCACAGTTTCAGCCCACACAGTCTTCCGGCAGACTGAAGAGGTAAGGTGGGGGCTCTGACCCACTTGTTCTTAGGGGGCTGTTGCAGACCGTGTCAACTATACAGGCTGCAGGCTCTGAGGAACAGAATCTGGCCACCGGGCAGTCATAGCAAATTGTTTTTCATCTTAGTGTTCAGTTATGTTTTTATTTAATTCCAAACATGAGCCCTTAATATCCACAGATAAATGTAATATTTTCCTAAAGCCGAGACTGTAAAGGTTTCAAGGGTAAGCCTTTCTCCAAAGGATTAACTAAAAATAGCTTAGCTACTTCCCGGTTCTTTGTTCTATAGACAAAATGCCATCCTCCCTAAACCTGTCCCAGGTTCAGTCTATTCAGCCAAGTTCCTGAAAACCTGGCACAGGAAGCCAAAACAGCGGGACTCCTCCCAAGCCTTTTGTCCTTTCCTCTCACCTTCCCCCAACTGAGCTCAGGGGCTATAGATATGTTAATTGAACCTGAGAAAACAAGTTGCAGGCCTGGGATTCGAACCAGCGAAGTACAATGTAAAGTTGCCTGAATGTCTGGAGAATTACGTATGCTAGCTGTATCCTGTCTTAGTCCCTTCCAGCTTGGTGTGAAGCTCCTCCCCTAAATAAAGCGGAGACGCAGGCCAGCCCAGGGTGCATTATGGTTTGCAGGCTGGGCATTACAGCAGGCTAGGTGTGCCTTACAGCTTGGAGGGCATGCAGTACAGTTTGCAGAGCAGTGCATTGCTGCCTGCAGAGGCCACGATGCCTGTAGTCCCAAGTCTGCCCACCAGTGATGCATCCACCCTGGTTTTAGGGTGTCTCTTTATCTCCCTCTTTTTGTCTTTCTGTGCATTCTTTTGCTATCCCTATCACCACCAGATATCTCCTCCTCATGAACCAAACACTCGTGAACAACACAACTATGTTGAGGCCAGTCCCCAACAGGGGGCAGATCCAGAGAGTTTGCCCATATCACACAGCCAAGCTCTGTGTGTCCAACACCAAGAGCACTTCAAAAACAGGGAGGAGAGAAGGACTCATCCTTGTATTGTGTCCACATGGAGTCAACAACATCA